AGTAACTTCCACGTTGACTTGAACGACCAATATGGTGACTTAAGATCAAGACTTACCGTCCCCTGTCCTAATCACACATCAGAGACCGCTTACCCAGCCACTCTGACATCAACCTACCCACTATCCGCCCTCCCCCTCCACACCCAGTGCTCCATAGCTCCTCAGCCCCCACGTCACCCACAAACAAACCGTCACTCACCCCCTCACACGCCAGTGGTCTAGCTGTCCATGTCGCCTATACTGTCCAGTGTAACTTTCTTACTTTCTCACTTCCATTTATTTTGTCTGAGGACGGGCTAGTGTCACTAGCTCGAAAAATTACAAGTGCAAATTGGTTTTTCCGAAGAGCCTCATCCTTTTCTCATTTTGTCGCTTTCAATGCATATCCCCTCTGAACTACCATAACTGGTCCCACTGGCACCGTCATTATCCCTCATGCTCGCCCACACTGGCGATCCACTTTTTTGCCTAATTCGATGAAACCGTGCTGCCTTCGACCTGCTCGGCGTTCTATCCTACCTTTGAGTCCAGACGCCAAGGTAGCGGATGGAAGCGAATGAGCTAGTCTCAGGAAGACGTTCAGAGGAAGATGTGATCGCAGAAACGAGAGCTTTATTCGCCTGATTTTTTGGATTCTCACCCGAATAAATCGACGGAGATTGTGGCGATGGACGCGCAAGAGGTGCGGTGTTTATAGAACGTGGTTATCATGCACATATACGCCTATTATAATTTTTAGAAGCAGTTTGTAACGCCGTTCACCACCGGTGCCAAGCCCACAACCGGTCACGAGATCGCAGATCTTTGACTCGCCTATTCGACAGCCAATCACCGTTGCCCTGTACTGCTATTGGCCAAGCAGCTGATCGAGCGGCCAGTGACTCACTCTCGTATGACGTTTACGCATTCATACCTACAGCACGCTAGCAGACAGACGTGCGCAGCCTGTCGTGCGCCCGGGTCTCAGACCACAACTGATTTTCTGTATACAATAAACAACTTCTATTGGTCTTGCCCTTTCTCTTCTTATGCGGAATTAGGCGTGATAATTATAGTGGTCTGAGCGCACCCACGGCTTAGAAACCTACAAGTTTTCCTTGCTAGGACATCGCAATTGGTACTGTACGCGGATTTTCTGTTTGACTAGTCCATCATTTAGCCTACTTCTGTAAACGCTAGTTCCTAGTGCTAGACGCACTAGGTCCTCGCCGCATAACTTTTGAATTGAAATAAAAACGCATTTGAAATTGCAGTTAGAATTTGACAACGGTGTATCCTATTCGCATAGGAAGGCAAAACTTTCTGTAGGTTTGCTATTCACGTGTCCTTCCGAAGGTATAAACAAGATTAGGAAGATAGAGTAAAGATTTGGGTGATAATGAAGATCTTATTTGGAAACTGGGGAAAATGGCAACAATTTTCACTGAAATGCAAGCATTTGTGAACATAAGAGAACATTCAGTTATACCTACTTTTAGCACGCTCTAAGTCGTTTATATTAGTTTTCTTTGGCACAATCCGGTACCGTTCATACAGAAGACGATATTTGTAGAATATGTAATGGCGATGAAGCCACAGCCAAATATATCTATCAGTGGGATTCTGCAATGCGTATGGCAAAACGCATCCAACCATGTCTACGGTGTCTGCTACGATAACTAACGACCAGCCAAAGAGAAAAAGCAACAGCCCGCTTGAATAATTGGTGACGAGTTTGTAGAAGTCCATCTTGATTCGTTCAGCTACAATGACGTGAATCATCAGGGAGAATCCAAGGAGGTAGACACCCGTTGTTAGGCACACAGCTCGAAAAACGTAGAAAGAGGCTGGCTGGACGCAGAGCATGGACAGCATGGACAAACCTTGAATGGCGCAGGCGATCGTGATCAGAGCCTGACCGCAGGTTGCAAAAACAACGGCCGTAGTAATTCCAGCTGGCTGAGAGTCTATCGGCCACTCGAATCCGTAGTCAAGATTGCATTGAGTTGAATTACCCGCCTCCCAGCAGCCCCACGTTTTGTCCACAAAGAGACTGTAAGTCAGCAAAAGGTCCCCGACCCAGGCAAGAAGGCACACGTAAGTCCATATCCTTTCCTCGCGGCACTGAACTCGAAAGTAAAACTCAAGTTTCCCAAAGCCCTGTTTAAACCGGAGTGCCCTCGATGTGTACACCATTACGTGTATGTGCTATTGAATGTGCAAAAGAACCTAAGGGGTGGCGAATGTTTAAATGAACTTTCCCTGCGATAAATCGATAACTCAACTCACGGGACTAATGCTATCTGCCACGACTTTGGCGAGCAAAAAACCGTGCCCGTGTAACCAGCAAGTTTCAGTTTTGACTTTTGACCTTGCCTCTAGGTAAAAGGCCCTGTTTTGTTGACATTCGCGATAAGAGGCACTCAAAACGACATATTTTAAACAATGCATGTCAAGTAAGCAAAACTTATGCTAATAGTTCTGCTAAATCTAGTGATTAAATGAAAGAGACTAAAATTTCAAAATTCTTAATTTTGTTACCCATTATTTGAAAAGCACTCTCCACTGTGAAAGTTTCAGAGCACATTTCAGAAAAAAATAATTCAGCGCAGAAGAACACGAAACAAGCAATCCATCTCAATTAATGCATTTAACTCGGTAAAAAAAATAATAAATAGGAAAAAGAGTCGAAAAAGTACAGCGAGAGCGAAAGGGAGTCGGGTTTTACAATAATGGGTATATTAAAAATAGGTTTCATAGGCAGAGGGGCAGTTAGAAATTCATTTAAGTCAGCCTCACAATTAGAAATGATCGGTACATTCAGATTCTTGAGATAGCCACATACTTTTAAAAAATTGTAATAAATTGAACATCTGACGTATAATATGTAAACTTTATCAAGCACAATCGTGACCGCAATTGAAGTTAGTAGTTAAGCATACATTTATTCTTAACATATTGATCGGATGGGTGGATTTGATTCTGAGAGAGTCTTTTATTAAGGAAAACTGCCTCTTTAGTTCAGTTTGTGTAAGGGAACCAAGCAGAAGTTTGGCGAAATCAGAGGTTTCCTGATCTCGGCCAAATTTCCTATGCTATTTAGTATGACATAATCAACACTTCTATTTTTATATGCTGTACCATCGGCAATCACCAGTGTAACCAAAGCAAGTTTAAAATACACCCCTTCCAGGACGATGAGTACTTTTTACATTTCTTTTAAGTAACAAATTCTCTTAAGGTTGTTCATTATTATTTCAAGTTTTTTGTACACGTCTTAATGGAAGTTTGCGAATGATTATCAACCTTTTATACATATCAGCGTTTTGCATGAGTGTCAGCCCATACTGTGCTTCAAGCCAGTGACAGTTTGGGAGAGAATGTACTAAGACAGCGTCTTTTGACAACAATAGGAAAAAATTAAATCAGTACTGAGATTGCCACGAAATTAAGGTGAAATCTGGTTCGGACTACCGGGTCTTAACTGTTTACAACCACACTCACGAAGCCGTACAAACGCTACCTTTGAATTGGGGAATGATCGAAATTTCAACGATGAGACGCTGAGGAGTGAGGTACATATCGAAAAGAGTTCAGGGCCTGGCATCAATTCACTTCATTTCGTCTTCCCACCTACATCGTGTTCTAATGAAACGCGTACGCCAAGACGACTGAATCGGGTACGGTGTCCAAACAGGCATTCCCACTGCAACTCATCTATCAATGGAAGTCTTGGTCACTCTGTCATCGTGAAAGGGACTTCACTTACACAGATTTCTTGTTAGCGTTCGTTGGCATGCGACCAGAAGTAGCGGAAAATACTGCAGTCTGGGCTTCATTTATCGGTATTACCTCCAACCTACATTGTTACATCTCATGATGTACCAAATGATTATCGTTCAGTTTACTGTTGTAGTTAAATCAGGAACCATCCTTTATGGGAGTAATCTGACAGAATATCGAACAGGTACTGATGTGAAATTATGTTTGGCAACGCACTGAAACAGCATGCGTGGACCCACGTTTCACAACCGCTTCATCGAACGATCCACCTAGCGCTGAGGTCGCAGGCACCGCACGGCTGGGCGAATCGGCACGTTCTGCTAAGTGTTGGGAGGAGCTCTCCGTTGATTGGCAGTTCATTTGTGGATGTGGCTATGTAAAGTTGTTTAAAATTTCCTTATGATTTATAATTTGAATTAATGTTTGAGCATTTACATCTCAAAGAAAATGGAGTGTCAGTCCGATAATCATAAACAGTTCCGACATCTGCTATTTTGATTGCATCGAGAAGTCAAAGCAGTGGAAACCACCAGAAAAACTGGTAATATTTACAAAAGAGACTCTATTGCTGAAAGAACATTTCAGATATGTTTTCTACCGTCGCAGCTAAAGTTATTACGATACGACAGGGGCTCGGCGCTCTAGACAGAAGTCAGGCATCGATGATGGTCCTCTAACGAGTGGGAGCATATGTTGAGCGGCAACTTTGGCCCTGATCACTGCTACGTTAAGGACTGACCCACGTGTTTGGTGAACGTAATCGCTAATGTCTGCAAATCACATAGAAGGTGAAATGCTAGTTTGCTTTCCTAAAAAGACAGTCCGATGCATTACTGGTCAGACTGTTCATTATTTCATTTGTTTTCAATCAGGCTAAGTTCGGCTCGAAAGTACGGCAAACCTCTGCAGACATCAAGAGCCGATTATTTCTACTTTGCACAAATATAGTTTTACATCGTGGAGGTGCACTCACCGAACCCGTTACGAAACATACTCCTCCCTTTGTGCCTTGGGACTCACTCACGAGCCCGGTAGCAGTCCCACAACAGCTGAAGCAACTTTCTGACAGAGACTAGGAAGATGTTAATGGCCACTTCTGACTTATTAAGCATAATCGACCAGTCAGACCCAACCTCGCATTTCTGCAACCCTGGAGGCTCGAACTCGCGACACGTTGGTTAGAAATGCGAAACTTCTAACCATCGAGTCCATGGACTTGTTATCCTGCCGGTTGCAATCGGCTATAACAGCAAATTACGTTACGCTCTTTCTTCGAGGGAACTTATGACAGCCGTCAAGTTTCTGTACGTTATCACTCAATCAATCAAGGTATTTGGAGTAACAAAGATAAGTATTCAAAAACTCCAAAGAGCGCATGAAGAGCAGTTAATTTTCGAAGATATTACATGTAGATATAGTGCACGAAATACATAACACTGATAACGAAAAATAAGTGTACAAAGGATGTGGAATTTACGAAATAACAGCGAAAAACATTTACTGTATTGGCATAATGGCATGTTCATAAGTGTCCCTTTTTATTTAAACAAACTATTTATTTAAATAAGGGTAGTAGTGTGTTTAAAAACACAGTAGTGACTCGTTAGATGCGGTTCCGATTGACCTTTAGCAAGTGAGTATTTAGACGCTTTTGCGCGCACTTATGGTGGGGAAATGCGCAAGATACATAGGCGAAGAATTGCACTGACGAAGGCCTCCGTGCGAGACATAGAAGGATCGTTGAAGGGTGTGGCATAGTTCCTTTTTAAGTAGGTAATCCTGTTTCAGATATTCGTTTTTCGTGCACTTCCAAAAGACCTTACCAGTTCACATAAGAAGCTAGTACCCCCGGCAGCTTAAATATTGCTAAATGGTCCTGTTTATGGTGGATGGGGATAAAGCTTCAAGGCGGTAAGGCGCTGCTTGTACGTAAAAGCTTCTATATCATGAACAGCCTTTGTAGCACGTCATTGTATAATTTCAAGTAAGCCTACGATTTGCCGAAGTCATGACCGCCAAACCAGTACCGAACATTTAGGCTGCAGCCGCACAAGTGCTCATTAGCAAGAACGCAATTTTGTTGATATTGTTCCCTTCTTATGACGTTCTAATTACACTCACCCTTTAGATGGAATGCTATCACTGGCTAAGTACACCATAAAGACCGGAGACAACCTGCTGTGAGTTGATCAGGCAAAGTAACACCCTATTCATTGATTCGGAGCTTCATTATACTGACCACTGCACTTGACAATATGTGAAGTCAGTTTGACTTGCTGTTCACAGACCTGCCCTGACCGCCGACAGTACCAGCAAGACTCCTTGCCTAGCCTGGGGTGTGAGGTTTGCATTCCTGGTCTATCGTGCCATGGCAGTGGAGTATCAAGCAGATGGTCACATAGGAAATAATAATGTCATGAAGGATTTATTTGCCGTTCTAAGTCAGCGCAAAACACAACAAAGACAGATAGATACAATTAAACCTCACCTCTCCCGAACCCTAATCTTTGACCTGACCTTAACCCGTTTCGCAAACTTAACAGCGGCCGTAATCGTAATAAAACATGCCTACGTAAATAATATTAGTAGGCAAAGCATACACTTAAGATATTTCAGTCAGGACAGGATGTAGACCTTCGAACGAGCGGCT